AAAATATAAAATAATAAAGTGAAGAAGGAAATTTGGGCCCAAGTCTGGTTTTCTATCAGCCTAGGCCAGTACTTGGGACTAATTTCAGCTTTGGGGACTTTGACCCATTTGTACTTGTCCTAGACTAACAAAAGGGTTAATTCCCTTCTTTGGGCTTTGTCCCAATATTTTCTTCTTTGTACCTATCCTACAAGGTAATAATAATAAAAATAAAATGGGCTTATGCCCAATAATAACAAAATACAAAGCTGAAATTTTAGAGCTTTTTGGGCCCATTTCTCTACCTTTATACAACTATACAGTGAGTATATATCACTGTATATCTCATGTATATTGTTGTATACAACGTGTATACAACCCTTCTTAGACTCTTGAACCCATGTACGTCGGTTTTGACTCGAGAAGAATAAGGTTGAGCCTCTTTGGCTCAAAAAATGAAATGCATGGGAAAGATTGAAAGAGTCCAATGGACTCGCTTGAAGATTCATGCAAGAAAAAAAAAAGGAGAGTAATTAATAAATGACTAAAGGGAACTAATTTACAATCAAATTAAACAAAAAGATGATGAAGTTACTGTCACTTAACAATAAAGGGATAGAGGGATACAATTCATTATAAATTATTTTAGGAGCCTAACATTTCTATCCCTTAAATAAATAATTGGTAGCAAAAGATAACAAAACATTACATTAAGCTTTATAACAATTTTTATACACTAAGAATGCATTAAGAAAGAGACCAAAGAAAATAAAAATAAATACTTATTTAGACCTGAATCAACACAAAGCTTTACAGAATCCAACTCAAAACAACCACCTTAATAACAAAAATAAGTACACTTCAGCCCTAAACTAAGCACCAAAAGAACAAATATATTTCCCAACAATGATTAACAGGCAGCAAAGGGGACTAAAACATGTCTCTCAAAGCTAGAATGATTCAAATTTGAAGCTTAACAAGTAACCAAAGAAAGATTCCAACTACAACTTTTGCATTTGAACTAAAATCAGAATTTTTTAAACCACACAAATGATAACTTTGCTAACTAGGGTGTATAAATAGCTACTGTAACATAAAACACACAACAATAAATCAACCATTGATCTAGAGATTAACTACAAGAAAACTTTAAAAAAAAACATATTTAAGCTAGGCATGGATAACATCTAATAGTAAAAAAAAAAAGAAACAGAAATAAATAGGCGAAAACCGTGGGAGAATCAGGACATGTATCTTCTATAGAATGGAACTCGTTTATAACACAAGATGACCCTAACAAATTGACATAAACCTAAGTCTACTGATATGGATGAGAACTAACATACATAAACTCGGAAAATTAGTGCGAAAATCAGTGAAGTGATTCTTTTGACACGTTCAAAAACGCACAACAAGACAAGAACGCCAATCCACAAATAAGGACAGAACAATATCCTGGTGATTAACAAGTGAACAATCTAAAATTCGAGGCAAGCACAATAGCCACAAGCTCAAGAAGACTAAGAACATGGAAAGCAGATTCAAACGTGCATTAAATCACCTCAAAAATGAAACACACACAGAAAGATTAAGATGAAGAGAAAAACTCAACTTGAACATATCAAATAGGATCCCTTTTGCGATAAAGAACAAACACGATTTAACACGTTCAAACTTGAGATGAACAAAAGAGTTACTAGTTGTTTACCTCGTTAAGAGCAGAGACTGGGACTCGAGATTCCGAGAACGATTTTACCACCACCAGACTCCGACTAGCTTCAGTGAATCAAAAACGAAAAGAAAGAAATAGAAAAAAAATAATCAAATTATGATTCATTGTAGTATATTTTAGCCTATTTTGTATATATCCCTATATGGATGTCGTCTCGAACCCTTTTAACTATTTTCCCCCTTTTTCCCAACTCTATTTTTTCCTTTGTTTCTTGCCAAAATTTTCCCCCAAGGATGGGAAAAGTTGGCGTTGGTACGAGATTTCCTCCAAAATTCTAGAAAATCTGGACGAGGCAGCAACGTAGATGGCTTGGATTCATCCGCTCGTCCTTGAGCTTCAACATGACGTCCATCCACGCGAGTCAAAGGCGAAAATCACACTGCAAGGACAGTATTGCAGGCGGCTCCTGCTGTATGAACTACTGACGAGGAAGACGCGGATAAAGTTGTTTACACAAAGCGTCGTGTACTTATTTCGAACGTTGGGGCTGCTTTTCGTGTAAATTGATGCTTGGAGGCGGATGCTCGTTCCGTGAACTCGCTCTCACGTGAAGGAGGCGAAGCACGTGCAAGGTTGCTCACGCGTCGCTGTTAGGTATCGTCTGGAATTGTTGTTGACGCGTTGTTGCTCGCTGTTTCTAGCTTCATTTTTGTGAAGGGAAAAGGGTTTAGGCTGGGTTACGGGTTAAAGGAAAATGGGTTGGCTGGTTAATAGAAGCTGGGATTGGTTTGGGTTGGGAAATATGGAGCTATTGGGCCTGGGATTCGAAGGATTGGTATGCTGAAAATTCAAAAAAAAAAGGCCCAAACTTGGTCTTGCAAAGGGGTTGAAGGATCACTAAAATTACAATTAAGAGAATGACCGCGTGAATTTCAATAGTAGCCAATCGAAATTAAAAATCTAGTCAAATGAGTTTAGTTGGTGATTAGGCTAAAATAAATAAAAAATGAGTTAATAGAAATTAATTAATGAGCTTCTTAATCCTAACGATATAAAATAATCAACTTGATTACAAAGTAATTGATTTAAAATACGAACTAATTATTCGAAATGGCAATTATGATTTAAACTAAAAATAAAGTACTTATCTAAAAATGCAAAATCTTGAGGTGATTTTTGTTTATAAAATATATAAAATATACGTATATTTATTATTTGAAATATTTAAAATATTATGAAAAGTAACTAAAATTCTTAAAAGTAACTTGAAAAAATATTTGAACCTCGTAAAGCTAATTATTTAAAATTAAAGAAGCCTAAAAATTAATTCATACCGGGGAGGGTCAAAATTGGGTGTCAACAATGAAAACAAAACATTATCTTTAACAATAATCATTACTTAGTACTTGTTGCTTGTGTCCCCTAATGTGAAGTAATTATGAGCACATATATAAGAATAATAATAATTTCTTAGTAATAAGAGAAAAGACATAAAATGACACCTGAATTTTTGAAAAGACACCTAAAATTTGCAGGTGTCTTATTACCCCATGGAACTATTTCAAATCACAATAAATAAACACTTTTGGCTCATTTTCACAACAGTTGTGTTCTCACATTTGATAGGCGTGTAGAGGAGTAAAAATACACCCCCAAACTAGTGTAAAAATGCTACGTGGCACTGACAATTTAAATTTTCTTCTTTATTAAAAGACCCACTTCTCATCTTCTCCAAAACCTCAATTGATAGATGTTGAACTGCTTTCCATCTACAACCACAAAAAAACAAATTCTCCATTCTCAATGAAAAAAAACATAAATAAAGGGGAAAACATATATTAAAAGGATATAATAAAGTAATAGATAACATAAATAAAGGGGAAAAAACAAGAGACAAGAATGAAAGTATGATGGATGACCATTGATAGTTATGGGCGATGATAGTGACAGTTAATGATGTTAACAAATATGATAATGGTTGGTGATATATAATGATGATGATTGTTATTTGTTATTTTCATAATAATTGACGATGATAATCAGGAATGGTAACGACCATGTTATGAATTAACAAGTTAATAAAATTAACAATATTTTCTATTGTATAAGGCAACAACACCAAGGACAAACACTGCATCCCAATGTTATACCAAAAACAGTCAAATATGTACAGTGTTGTTGGCCCACTTTGATTGGCCATAAAATCCTGGAAGGACTCTTAGGGTGTGTTTGGTATGAAGGAAAACATTTTTCAAAAAATGTTTTTCAATTTTTTCATATTTGGTTGGGTTAAATATTTTGAAAAATGTTTTCCAAATCAACTAATTTTCCTCAAATTTAAAGAAAATGACTTCCCTTCAAAAATTAAGGAAAACATTTTCCAAAACTCTCCTCCAACTTCAAATTGCAATTATTTTTGTTTGAAAAATAAATTTAAAGCTTATTTTTAAGAAAATATTTTCAACTTCAATTTTTTAATTTTTTTACCCCACCGTTACCCTCTACAACCCTCCCCCGCTAGCCCCCT